GCGTGCGACACCGCCTCGCTTGGTGGTGCTGTGAGTGCCGCTTTAGTTTCGTTGAGCGTGCGACACCGCCTCGCTTGGTGGTGCTGTGAGTGCCGCTTTAGTTTCGTTGAGCGTGCGACACCGACTCGCTTGGTGGTGCTGTGAGTGCCGCTTTAGTTTCGTTGAGCGTGCGACACCGCCTCGCTTGGTGGTGCTGTGAGTGCCGCTTTAGTTTCGTTGAGCGTGCGACACCGTCTCGCTTGGTGGTGCTGTGAGTGCCGCTTTAGTTTCGTTGAGCGTGCGACACCGCCTCGCTTGGTGGTGCTGTGAGTGCCGCTTTAGTTTCGTTGAGCGTGCGACACCGCCTCGCTTGGTGCTGATGAACTGTGAATACATGAATCAATAATTGTGGATATCCATTGCCATTTATGTGAATACGTGAACCCCCCCCCACGTCACATTTATCCCCCCGGGAACGAGGAGGAGGATTTTCTCCGCTACTCCGCGGCTGTCGCCTGATGATGCTGGTTGTTGTATTTACCGGCGGAACATCACGGTACTTGAATTGTAAATGTTGTGCTGGGTTTACTCTCCAACACACAACCGGCTAGTGCTGGACGAGTAACGAATTGGCTCGTTTTGCTTACGTGACAAACCTTGCCAGGTGGCTGCGCCGGGTGGTGGTGGCGGGTTTACCGACACATTTGTATTTACGCCATCGAACCCAACAAAAACCTTGGTTACGGTTAAGAGCGTTGCTACGGGCGGTGCGCCAGAGCCTGTGTGTGCCCGCCCCCCACCCCTCGTCAGTTCTGTTTGACGATTGCTCTGAAAGGTAACTCGGAAAGAAACCTTTTACTTAAACAAATTATTTGTGAATGCTTCTGGTGCTTGCAGTTGCGCCCAAGCCTGCGGTTTGACAGCCAACCAAAAACTCGACAGCTTTTGTCATGAACGACGCTTCGTGCGCGAGCGCGTGGCCGTGAAAAGTACAATGGTATAACGGGCGACGTTTCGGGTGATGGGCCTCGGTTCGTAGAGAGGTCGGTGGAGAGACGGAGCGTGGAGATGAGAGGTGGTGTGAGGCGGTGGGGGGGTCCTGATGAAAAACGCGATTTGCAAAAATGTTTTTCCGACGACCGCATTTGAAATTGACGAAATTGTTACGCCGAGAGTAGCCGTTGAGCAACAGACAAAGGCCCCCCGCCCCCCATCTCCTCAGCTTCTATTAAATCCTGGATCCTGGTTCTTAAACGGAGCCCCGCTTCACTCGCGCTCCTGCAGCCGGCGTGATTGTGACCTTGGAGCATCCCCACCCCCCCGTCCAGAGTAGTGGAGACGAAGCCGGCCCAGCGAGAAGTTAACCCCGTCCCGTTTTCTTCCGATTTCCCAATCCGGTGACACGCACGTGAACTAAAAACGAGGTAACTTTATCGGTGCCGCGGTTTCCTCCCGCCGCAAGGCCGCCGCGGAAGGGCGCGCGGCGCGGTTTGCCGCCAGCCGTCATAGAGCGGCGGCGGTCGTGTCGCCACGGTTCCGTGCGGTGAGTAACGACGCCTTTAAGAACGGCGCCGCTGCAGCTGCGCCTCTCTAAATGAAATTAGCGTCGTGCCGCTCGCACGCGGGCCGAGATTCGGCGTTGAACAGGAGACGCGCCGCACCCACCCTGCCACTTGCAGACGTCTCGGAACGGGAGAGGGTTAATCCGTTTGAATTATTCCACTCAGTGGTGCCTGCTTTGATCAATTGTGGGTCCTATAATGTGATACATGGCCTGGCCTTCTCATTACGTTAAACGCTCCCGAGTGCAGGGCGTTTGAAAGGCGTACCATTGTTTTTTTTTTGCTCTTCGTCCCTCGCGCGATTGTCTGTAGTCTCAGACTCCGGGGGGCGGGGGGGGTGGCGATGCCGCTGGGTGAATTTAAACGCCCGTGGAGCGGCGAGCAAAGTCGAATCGATTTATAAGTGCCGTCCACACTCGACGGCAACGAAGCTCCTCGCGTCGTTATTATAAACTAAGGTGACCTGGTAACCATTCGCCCCCCCCCACTCCCACCACTATGAACCCGGCGACCCGAGTTCCATTCCTGTTCACGGCCAACGTGGCTAGCGAATATCTGGACCGGTCCTGGGCCTCTTCCCTCCCTACGTTGACTCGGACATTAAGTGAGCATCTTTAGTAAACGAACGTCAGCACCGGGGAGACGGAGGCTGCTGGGCTTGTGGCGTTTGCCTCCCCCCACCCCCTCCCCTTCGCGCGCCGTGGCGGCCTTCGTAGGCGGCACTTAGCCGCGGACCGTCCGTTGAAGGCTACCTGGGTTGACCTTCGTCTTTGCGTGTGCCCAGGGTGCTGATGGTGCTGGGCGCGGGACGAGGTCCCCTGGTCAATTCCTCGCTGCGCGCGGCGAAGGCCGCGGGCAGGAAGATCCGCGTCTACGCCGTGGAGAAGAACCCCAACGCTGTCGTCACGTAAGTGGGAGGGGGGGGCGAGAGGGTGGGGGGGGGGATCGTGGGGGGGAGGGGTCGTGGGGGGGGAGGGGTCGTGGGGAGGGAGGGGTCGTGGGGGGGGTCGTGGGGGGGTCGTGGGGTGGGGTCTCCTGCACAGAGAGACGATGCCTCGATTCCGATTCATTACTCAGGGTGTCTACTGAGCAGTGGTGTCAGTCGAGGGGGGGGTGCCGTATAATCCCCACCCCCCCATTGAGACCCCAAAAATCTATGCATTTTATAAACCCCCCTCCCCGCCCCCCACTCCCACCGTGGGGAGTCTGGAGGTACCCCTCAGCCACTGAGCAGCCTCGGCCAACCAAAGTTTGCATTCGTTTATCCGTGTTTAGTTTGTTGCCCTTGCCCCCGCACCTCCGATTAGCGCGGTTGGCTACGTAAAAGAAGTTCACCGTGCATACGTCACGTCACCCAGGCTGGAGAACTGGAAGGCGGAGGAGTGGGGAGACCGCGTGACCGTGGTGTCGTGCGACATGCGCGAGTGGCTGGCGCCCGAGAAGGCCGACATCATTGTGAGCGAGCTGCTGGGCTCCTTCGGCGACAACGAACTCTCCCCCGAGTGCCTGGATGGGGCGCAGCGCTTTCTCTCGGGTAGAGAGTCCTGGCGTACACGTACACACGAGCACGTACACGCACGCACGTACACGCACGCACGTACACACACACACTTGCACGTACACGCACGCACGTATACACACACACTAGCACGTACACACGTACACACACGCACGTACACACGTACGTACACACACACGTACACACACACACATACACGCACGTACGTACACACGCACGTACACGCACGCACGTACACACACAACAACAACCGCCATTCACCACTAAGTAGCGGTGACATCACCACGACGCTTGTGCACCTTGAGGCCACGTGAAGTGTCGAACGCCCGCTGGCAGGAGGTCACGGGGCAGACCCAGCAGGTGCCACGGGTCGACTGACCGAGATGACCGAGATGACTGGCTGATGCACCACCTGTGCCCCCTACTGTGCCAACTTGCTGTGCTTTAGACACCCGGCGCTCCGCTCGTTGTTGTGAGCGTTGCTCCTCCGCCCTCCATTGTTGTTGGAGGGCGACTACCTCCAACACGCACGTACACACGCACATACACGCAAGCACGTACACACACGCACGTACACACGCACATACACGCACATACACACACGCACGTACACACGCACATACACGCACGTACACACACACACGGGTGTCACTTCACGCGCCGCCACCCGGCCCATGACCGCATGACCTTGCCTGAAGAGCGCGTTCCAGACGGCCGCAGAAGCGCAGAGGAAAGCGCCGCGCGATGAGGCGATGGCTGAGCCAAAAGCTGCTGCTGCTGCTGCTGCGAGGATGAGCACCGGAGTCTGCGTGATGACGGTTTACGTTTCTTGCTGACAAAATGAGCGATGGCACAATGGGGATATAACAATAAAAATATAACAATAGAAATATAACAATAAAAATATAACAAAAGTATAACACGCCGCTGCTGTGTCCCCTCAGAGGACGGCATCAGCATCCCGCGTGAGTACACCTCCTACATCTCTCCCATCTCCTCGTCCAAGCTCTACAACGAGGTGCGCGCCTGCCGCGAAAAGGACAAAGATCCAGAGGTGAGGCCGCTATCCCACTCGCATTCACTCATTCACTCGCTCATTCACTCAATTATCCACTCATTCACTCATTCAAACACGCTTATGTGTGTGTGCGGTGACACTTGTGTGTGTGGTGACACTAGTGTGTGCCGTGACGCTTGTGTGTGTGTGCGCCGTGTTTGCCCAGGCCCACTTTGAGATGCCCTACGTGGTGCGCCTTCACAACTACCACGAGCTGGCCAAGCCACAGCCCTGCTTCACGTTCGTGCATCCCAACTCAGGTGAGCTGCCGGACGTCGCCTGTTGGAAAAAGAGCTTCACGGCTCGTCGGGTTCCCCCGGTACCAACGAACATTCGCCCAAAAGGTCTGTTGAGGCTTCACGGGGGTCCTGTGACTTTGTGTTGTGAACAGAGCCCGGGAAGGACAACAGCCGCTACAAAGCCCTGGAGTTCCCCATCAGCACAGACACGGTGCTGCACGGCTTCGCGGGATACTTTGAGACGGTGCTGTACAAGGACGTGACGCTAAGTACGTGGGCTGGCGACATCGCACACACGTGCGGTAGCGCTGCGCGAGCCGTTCCACCCATCCCGGGACACGCACCACAGTGTCGAGATGTTAACTCCCTCGTCGATCCCGAAACCTGACCCTTGCTGTATTACACACTTTCTGATTCTGTACATTATAAACGTGCGTTTAGAGTGTTTGACTGCTGCTATACATTTCCACGTCATAAGCCACCTCGATCGCGACCCTGACGCTTGCTGCTGTATATTTGCAGTCTGCGTCTCTCTCATCATTATCACGGTGGCTGGGAGATGTTAACTACCTCGCCTGGTGTACAGGAGGTCGTGGGTTCGATCCCGACCCTGACGCCTGATGCTGTATATTTGGAGTTTGAGTGTCTCTCTCCCCGTGGTTGCGTGGATTTTCTTTGAGTGCTACGGTTTTTCCTTCCACATTTAGAATCAACAACACGCGTTCAGGGTATTCTGCTGCCATCACTTTCCACACGATGATCAGCCGCCACTTCATCGAGCTATCGCTTGTAATAGCCGGGTCGCTTTACTGAAAAAGAGCTACATAGCTCGGTGGGCCTCACGCCCGGGAAAATAACAAAAAAACATGTTTAGCTTTAGCTTATCGCCCTGGCCATGAGACATCGTGTGTGCGTCGTTGGTGGGTGTCGCTGCCCAGCTGTGGTGGCGCTGTTGGCCGACTGTTGCAGAGGTTCCGCTGTTCGAATCCAGCCAGCGGCCGCACCACCCGGGTTGAGGGGGGGGGGGAGGTTTGTTTCGATACAAAACTCGATAGTGGTACTTTGGTGTCTATCAAGTTCTGACCGATGGAGCCCCTTCTCGCCCCCGCTGCCTGGCGACTTTTGGCAACTCGATTGAACGCGGGGCGTGCGACAGACGTGACGCTCGATGAACCGACTGTGCGCTCATATCAGGGTGCGCTTATGTCCAAAACAGGAGGTGACGGGTGTAACAGACGGTGGGGGCGGCGTTTTGTTTTGCAGGCATTCATCCCGAGACCCACTCTCCCGGCATGTTCTCCTGGTTTCCCATTCTCTTCCCCATCAAGGTAAGCCAAGTATGAACCCCCGCGGCAAGTTACAACGCGAGCCTCTCAAATGTTTACCGCCCAGCAAGGCCCTACGAGCCCCACGCCATGCTGCTTCGCCCAGCGAGAGCCTCCCCCACCGAGTCTCAGGAGGCTCCTGGTCGGCTCTTGCCACGGCAGCTGTGTGTGTGTGGTGCTGTGTGTGTGTGTGTGGTGCTGCTGTGTGTGTAGCTGTGTGTGTGTGGTGCTGTGTGTGTGTGTGTGGTGCTGCTGTGTGTGTAGCTGTGTGTGTGTGGTGCTGTGTCTGTGTAGTGCTGCTGTGTGTGGTGCTGCTGTGTGTGTGTAGCTGTGTGTGTGTGTCTGTGTGTGGGGAGCGGTGGTGTAGCGGTTCGCGCACTGCGCTACGAACCTGGCGACCCGAGTTCGATTGCCACTCGCGGCCAACATCAGTGACGATTATTTGAACCGGTCCTGGGCCTCCCCTAAATCGACTCGGCCTCAAATGAGTACCTGGTGCGGTGTGTAGTAAACATCGCCACTGGGGAGACAAAGGCGGCCGGGTGTGGTGCTGGCCACCCACCCCCTCGTGTGCCGTGCCGGCCTTCATAGACGCTCGCTTAACCGCAGTAATTTAAGGCCTTGAGAACAACAGCGACCGCACCCAACGTGCTCGCTGTACACCGTGACCCTTGACCCGCCCGTTGTATTCCGTCAACGCGCCGTCTCGCCCCCCCCTCCCCAACCCCCCCCCAGCACCCCATGCCCGTGCGGAGCGGCGACACGGTGTGCCTCCGCTTCTGGCGCTGCTGCAACCAGCAGAAGGTGTGGTACGAGTGGGCCATCACGTCCCCGATGACGTCCGTCTTGCACAACCCCGCGGGACGCTCCTCCACCATCGGCCTGTGAACCACGCGGAGAGAGAGAGGAGAGAGAGGAGAGAGAGAGGAGAGAGAGAGGGGGGAGAGAGGGGGGAGAGAGGGGAGAGAGAAGGGAGAGGCCTTTGCGCACGCGGCGTCCCATTTCCGCCTCCGTCGTCGTCGTTGCGCTCGTTTACCCAGGAAAGCCTCGCCGAGTCTCGCGTGCGACTCTTGGTCTTTCTTTTTTCAGGAGGGTTTCTGCCAAGTTTTCGAAGTAGCAAGGTGGGGGGGGGGGAGCGACCGGCGTTTGCCACGCGTTGTTCACGTTGAGTCATTTGCGGTGGGGGGTTGGGGGGGTTGGGGAGTTTCAGTTGTAGCAAAGTCGGACCGCGACGCCGGCGCCACAGTTGCCTGCTCTTGCGAATGGCGTCACGGCATCTTTATGACGTCCGCCGTGAAGCGCACAGGCGCGTGGCGGTATTTCTCGGGACTGATGCGCACCGCAGTATTAACCGGGGTGGCCGCTCGAACCGCGAACCTCCGTGCGACGACGAGCAGCGGAACACCGCTACCCCGCCGCCGCTGGGTCGCGTCACCGCTTCACCGCGTCACCGCCACCCCCCCCCCACCACCCCCCACTGTTGGTAAATTAATTAGCGACGGAAGTATTCGACGCTAAAGCGTGAAGCGTTTATTTTTTCGCTCCTTTTTTTAGTCAGCGATGATCGCGTGTGGCCGAGAGCCACCTCTCACGCGTGACGATGACGACCACCTCCGACCAATGACCTAAGCGTGTCCCGCCCTAACGAGGCGAGATATGGCGAGTCCGAGTGAAGACGCATTCCAAGATAATAATGATAATAAAGAGATGAGGTGGTAATGTTATTCGAGATGGTGCGCTGAGGAAGACACAACATTTATAATTGGTCATGTGTACGAAAAGATTTGCTGCAATCACCGATTGGCTGCCAATTAATGTGGGAGGAGGAATTTCATGAATCACTCCAACATCCGTTAACTAAGAGTGTCTAACTACATATTTCACCACTTTAGTTGCTCAGACTAAGGTCCGTATTCATAGTCACGGCCTGGCTCAGGCCTGGCTCCTTTGGCTGCTATAAATTTCCACGTGATGATGATAAACCACTTCGTAGAGCTGTCATTTGTGGTGGCCAGGTTGCTTCTGAAAAAAATAGCCACATAGATCAGTGGGGCCTTACCTGGTAAAGTAGAAAAGTTTTGAAAACTTTGGCCGCCTCCGAATACGGTCCAAGCCCAGTTTAAGATTTATTTGAGCCCAGCCACGGCTTAGCGTGTGCGTGTCTGTGTGCGTGTGTGCGTGTCTGTGTGCGTGTCCGTGTGCGCTCGCTACTTCAAGTTCGCGTGCTTCTTGGACGACGGCGTTGATGCGGTAGGCGCGTGACGAATTTGCCGATTCTGTCAACGACGGTGGATCGTTTATATCGTGGCATCGCGCCGCGATGGCAGTGGACTCGGAATTTGGAGAACAGAAACGTTTCAAAATAATGATTCTTACTGTCAATCGCAAGCCTGAATCATCACGATTTGTCAACGAGGGCTCCCCCTCCCCACCCCCGCGCTCCTCACGTCACTCATTTTACCGTACTTCACCACGCCAGTCAACGCAGCTCGGCGAAGCGGCAGCCAGTGCAGGTCCGGTTCTGATTCCACTCCGCCACCGACGCCGACCCGCGTCGCCGCGAACGTCGCCTTGCGCGGTGCTTGCCAAGCATTTCGGACCACTCCTCTCCCACGTCCCCGTGGCTCCGGTGGTCTCCACCTCGTTTGCCAGCTCACGAAGCGGCGCGCTAAGCTCGTTCACACCGACATCGGGGGGAACGGCGCCGTCGTTTTGAACAAACGTGTTGTTTGCATTGTTCACGTTCCAAGACTGTGTCCTATGCATGGTCCCTCACCCCCGTCCGCCTCACCCCACACGAACGCCATGGCTCGCTGATGGTGACTGCCCACCCACCCCCTGTGATGTTTTGTATCGAATTGGAAGCTTGCGTTGGGGAAAAATAAAAACAAAAGTTACTTCTTTAATCCGAACTGCGGTGAAAACATTGCGAGGTTTGTAAACGCATCCACTTGTTGCGGTGATCATTTACTGTTAAACGAGAGCACTCGTTAAATACGTAGGCTTTCGCGACCAATATCCATAATACAGGTTTTTTTGGTTTAGATCGCGTTAATGTATTGTCGTTAAACCCGCAACCACCCGACAGCCAAATTAGTAAGGTTTGTTACGTAAACAAATCTGATGAAGCTAGTTGTAATTACTGGCGAAACATCATACTCAGATTGTAAATGTTGTGGCTTGGCTCTCCAACACACTGGTGTGCTGTACTAGTGACGAATTGGCATGTTCTGTTTGTGACAAACCTTACTAATCGGACTGTAGATTTAAAAGTATACAATAGGCCACGTGTAGTAAAATGTATAATGCTAATTAGTAAATGGGCCAGATGGCTCAGCCCATGGGCCTTCTCTGGTCGATAAAATAAGTACCGGCTTTGTGGCGACGTCCTATGGATATGCCTGAATGTGAAATCGCCACCGCAGGTTCAGGGTTGTGTAAACGAGAGATGGGGACTGCCGACACAACATTCAGAGAAATGTAAAATCAGAGCAGCTGAAAACACGACTGCCATCGTGTCTCCACACAACAACAACAAAGAGTACTCACGGAAGATTGTTAAGGGCAGTATTCTATAATCTTGCATCCAACTATGACCAATATAAACGATAAACTTATTGTACCACGTTTTAGGCCCCACTGAGCTATGTACAGAAGCGGCCTGGTCATCACAAATAATTAAAGCTCAACAAATTGGTGGCTTATCATCATCACGTGGAAATTTATAGTAGCAGCCAAATGCTCTAAATGCGTGATATTGATTCTAAATGTGGAGGGGAAAACGCGGAGGGAACCCGGAGAAAACTCCATGTGACCACGGGGAGAGTGAGACACCGCAAACTCCAAATATACGGCAGGCTCTGGGTCAGGATTTAACCCACGACCTCCTGTATACCAGGCGAGGTAGTTAACATCTCCCAGCCAGCGTGATGATGAGAGATGCGCAGACTGCAAATATACAGCAGCAAGCGTCAGGATCGAGGTGGCTTATCACGTGCAAATGTATAACAGCAGTCAAACACTCTAAACACACGTTTATAATGTACAGAATCAGAATGTGCGTAATGACATGACGACACCTGCTGGCTGGGCAAGGGAAGCACGGGTACGGTTAAGATAACATGCAGTCGGAGAAAGAGGTATCTGGGGCAAAGGTAATAGGTGTGGTTGACCGAGATGCTCCGGGAAACTGCTCGAAGGTTCCACAAGAGGGCGTAGCTGGAGGCGGAGTTTAGCCACGTGGCCTAGCCACACCTGGGGAGATATCAGGGCGGGCGAACCGGGACTCGGAGTTCGTGTGTGGAGTCTTGGGTCGGCCTCTGTGGAGGAGGAGGCTCGTGAAGGACGCTGCTACTGCTGGGCAGTTGGAGGCAGTCGCCCTCCTGCAACAACGGAGGGCGGAGGAGCGACGCTCACAACAACGAGCGGAGCGCCGGACGGATAAAATGCAGCAAGTTGGCGCAGTAGGGGGCACAACAGCTGGTGGTGCATCTGCCGGTCATCTCATCGGCCAACCCATGTCTGCCTGCAGCGTGCACCTAGCCTGGCACAGGCGCCGTGGTGACGCCACCGCCATCTGGTGGCGAGCGGCAGGCGGCATTGTGAGGCGCCTTGCCTGCTCGTCCATTCGTGAGAACCTCCACCACGGTCTTGACTTCATGGTCGCTTTCAAACTCGACACTGTCGTTAATAAGAGTGCGGCTTTAACAGGAAACGACACATTATAGGCGACGTTTCGGGTACACGGGCAAGGGCATGGAGACGGCTTCCCATTGGCCGGAGAGCTGGTCACGTGGGTAGCAGGCGCCGGTTGTGCGTGCGGTAATTTATTCATAAGAATCGATTCTAAATTTTCCATTGTTTAGATCGATTCCAAAGCGCTTTCACAGACCGTTCGATTCCCCAGTGTCAACGCAGCGCGTTCGCGATTCACGCGAATCGATCCACGGGATTACCCCCCCCCCTCCCCCCCTCATCCGTGTGCAAAAAAATTGGCGCCAAAGTTGGAGGGAGGTGAGGAGGGGTCAGAGTGGCGGCCTCCACAAGGCGCGGAGCGACTCAACGCCGCCTCGGACGGCGGTGCTGACGACGGCTGCCCTGGTGCTGACGACGGCTGCCGTGGTGCTGACGACGGCTGCCGTGGTGCTGACGACGGCTGCCGTGGTAGGCGACGATCTCTGCTGCTGCTGTAGGAGCCGCCGGCTCAGATTTGTTTCGCTCTGGCAGGGTTGGGAGCGGTGGCGCCGGCTCGCTGCTGAGGGAGGTCCTCATCCAGCAGTGAATCGATAATGGCCGATGATGCTTCTTCGTTCGTGCAGAGCAACAACCACAATGTGGCATTCTATTTACAAACTAAAGTATATTTTTATTTGACCAGGTAAGGCCTCCGTGAGACGGAGGTTAAGGCCCGCCTTGCCTGAGTAGCTCTTGTTCAGCAGCGACCTGGCGTTCACAAACTATAACATAACAAGATGGGCTTATCGTCGTCATATAAACATTTATAGCAGCGACCAAATACTCCAAACTCGTGGTGATGTTGACTTTAAATGTGGAGGGGAAACCCGGAGGGACGTGTAGATAAATCCACGCGACCACGGAGAGAGAGAAACACGCGAACTACAAATATACAGCAGCAGGCATCAGGGTCGGGATCTAACCCACGACCTCCTGTAGACCAGGCGAGGTAGTTAACATCTCCTAGCCACCGTGATGATGATGAGAGAGAGACACGAAAACTACAAATATACAGCAGCAGGTAACAGGGTCGGGATCTAACCCACGACCTCCTGCACACCAGGCGAGGTAGTTAACATCTCCTAGCCACCGTGATGATGATGATGAGAGAGAGACACGAAAACTACAAATATACAGCAGCAGCAGGCGTCAGGGTCGGGATCTAACTCGCGACCTCCTGTACACCAGGCGAGGTAGTCAACATCTCGACACATTGAGGTGGTCAAGCCAGACATTTGCGTCAGGAGCAGCGGAGTGTATCATCAGCATCATCATCGTCGCTCTGATGTCTGCTTCGTATTTGTGGCTCGGGGCATTGCGTCGCTGGACGTTGCACGGCCTCTGCTCTGGATGACCACAGTCGCACCGCTGCTACTGGAGGGGTTAGAACTTTAAATCTGAGCCCCAGGGTATCCGACTCTACTGCTGCGATGGCGGATGCGGTTCAGGGGTGCATCGTGAGCTTAGTGGAAGATAAAAAAACCAGGGATTTTCTGCGTTGGGTTTATCACACCAGGGCGGTGTTTGCGAGTTCTTGTGAACTCCATTCAGCTCTCCAAACTGCACCGGGGGTTGAACTCCCACGGTTGAAGTTGTGAAGCGCATGGGCCCCCTCCATGGCTTGGCGTGTGGGCCCCCTCCATGGCTTGGCGTGTGGGCCCTCTCCATGGCTTGGCGTGTGGGCCCTCTCCATGGCTTGGAGTGGAGGTCCTCTCCATGGCTTGGTGTGTGGGTTCTCCATGGCTTGGCGTGTGGGCCCTCTCCATGGCTTGGCGTGTGGGCCCTCTCCATGGCTTGGCGTGTGGGCCCTCCATGTCTTTGCGTGTGGGCCCTCTCCATGGCTTGGTGTGTGGGTCCTCCATGGCTTGGTGTGTGGGTCCTCCATGGCTTGGTGTGTGGGCCCCCTCCATGGCTTGGTGTGTGGGTCCTCTCCATGGCTTGGCGTGTGGGCCCTCTCCATGACTTGGCGTGTGGGCCCTCTCCATGGCTTGGAGTGGAGGTCCTCTCCATGGCTTGGCGTGTGGGCCCTCCATGGCTTTGCGTGGTTTCCAGCGATGGCGAGAGACGTTCTTGAGGTACTGGTGAATGGGAAGGCGACTGCGTTCCTTTAACTGCTGCTTAATACTGTATCGTGAGAATAGCTTAATAACACTCTTATATTGGTCATGACGTGTCCATTTATCTATTTATATACTTTTGATTTAAAGCTTTCGTGACTGCAGGGATTCATATTATTGGTTCTTTCGGTAAAGTCACGTAGAAGGGAAATAATACAAATATAAAACAAGAAAATGCTTTGGATTTCACACCTGATGATGATTGCTTGTGTTGCACTCGAAACGTCGTAAATTGTATTGTTTTATATTTTTATTATTACCCTTCTACGTGACTTTACTAAAAGAACCAAGAATATTTATATTCTGTGTATACATTTGTTTCTGTTGTAAGCCATTGTGGTTACCGCAGAAAATGCGACACGATGGGGGGTGGGTAGGCGGCCTAACTCTGCATTATTTTGCAGGAACCATCATCAGCAGTTCCCAAAGAACTGCACCGTTGCCCCTCGTGTTTTCTTAGGTCACGGTCAATATCAATTGAGCAAAAGTGACTGACAGTGATAGTGGGCAGGTTCTGTTGTCATTAGGATGCATCAGCACGGTTTTGTTTAAATTTAGCATCATACCTAAGCCAACCGTGCTAATTGGTAGTGCGGGGCAACTAACTAAACACAAAAAAACTCTTCTAAAGAATTGAGTTTTCAATCCAGATTTAAAGGTGCATAGCTCCGGTGGCTTCCTAATATCGGAAGAGCGTTCCAGGTGGCCGCAGAAGCGCATCTGAAAGCGCACGAGGATGAACGGAGTTCACGTGATGGTGGTTTATGCTCTTTGATGAGATCAGCGAGGTACTGTGTTGTGGTTCGTTTGTGGCAGGGGCTTTGTCTGCGACCTTCTTTACAAACTGCTGATGTTTTTTGCGCTATGCACAAAGGCCGAGTGCTTTTTGTACAGGTCTCTGAGTGTGGCTTTGAAATGTACGGTTGTCTGGCCTGCATTATGATTCTGGTATGACGATAGATTGTTCTCTCCAGATTTGATCTTCACAGGAAATATTGGGAGGAGGCCCTATGACGTCATTGTGTGCAAGAATCACAATCCAAAGAATTGTTTTT